TGCAGTATGGACACCCTCGGGGCCGGTGTCCTTGGAATCTCGTGGTGCCTGCTGGGAGGGGAAGGTGTGCCCTGGTCCAGCCTGATGGATGGACAGAGGCTCTTAGCCCGGTGGACAAGAGTAGCGCAGTGTTGGGGGGTGGGCAGGAGCTGGTGGGAGGTCTCGGGCAGAGAGCTAGGGAGATGGACAGGACTCTGTGGGGGAGGGGGAGAGATGCAGCGGGTGGGCCTCTGGGGTCAGAGAGGGAAGTGGAGAAAAGGCCCCAAGTCAGGTGCACGTGCCAGTGAATGTGCAGGTCTTGGGTGTTGATGGGGCCCGAGGGCTGGCCGCCTCCAGAGCATCAGCCAGGTGAGCAGCCAAAACGCCTGTGTGAGACGGGGCCCAGGGGCCTGAATCCTGTCCGTTTGGCCCTCTGAGGGGCCTGGGCAGGGACTGCCCAGCCTTGCACGTCATTTGCATCTCTCAGAGCACCTTTTGCACCTGGAAATGGGAACATTCTCTTTCTGGATTGTGCATGTGTGTGCGTGTGCATGCTTGCACATGCACGTGTGTGCATGTGTAGTGTGTGTGTCTATTTTCCTTTGGAAATGTGGCACTCTGTGTGTGTCCCCTTAGCCCTTTGGAAGTGCTGGTGTCTATGGTCCATCACAGACCATCTGTGCCCATGGCAGCTGGGCAGGAGGTTTAGGAACAGAGAGAAGACCCATGGCATGTGGTGTTGGGGTGGGGGTAGTTATAGGAGGTTTCAAAGCAAAAGTGATGTTGGTGCTGTGTGCACGGGATCAGCAGGGCCCTGCTAGGTCGATGGGGCTTGGGAGAGGGGAGGGCAGTGAGCCATCTGACCTCTTGGCCAGAGGCCTGGCCCTGTGGACACACCTGCAGCATGCAGGGTGCACCCTGTGTCTGGTGGCTGCAACGGAGGATTTCGGGAGCAGGACAGCAGACTGGCGGTGAGGCTGAGAGGAGACTGTGGGTGGGCCGAGGTGGGCGTGGCCCCTCAGGGACCACCTTCCAGCAGCATACTCTGGTTGACAGCTTCCGCTTGATGCTTCTCTTCCTCCTGGGGCTCTTTGCAGCAGGGACGGCCAGCACTTCACTCCTTTGTGTCCCTGAAGGTTGCTGGCCAGGACTCGGGAGCAGGACCAGCTGGTGTCCCTGATGGCCCCACTTTGGCTGGCTTGGCCAACTCATTCCTCTGGTTTTGTTTCTGGATTCTGCTGCTTCACACCACGCCCTCACCCACCTGGGTGGGACCGTGTGGCCTCTCTGGCTGACCCACTGGAGGAGGCAGGTGTCAGCATCGCACCTGCAGAACCGCTGGAGTATGGGAGCCAATGGCTTCTTCCAGGATGTGCAGGCAGGGCCTGAGGCTCCTGGCGTGCGCATAGGAGGGATTTAGGCTGGACCTGGGACCCTCTGTGGTTACTCCTGGTGCTTCTGTCTTGTGGGACAGGGCCTGCACCTTCTGGGAATCCACTTTGATGTTCCCTTTCCTCTGTAAACGTGGGCTTCTGCCTCCCCAGTCAGCCCACAGATGTTGGAGGAGCACTGCTGACCTGGAGACAGCTGTGCTGTGCGACACAGGATCCTGGAGCTGTGAGGAGCAGGCAGAGCGCCGGGGCTGTGGGGAGCAGGGGAAGCTGAGGAGCCAGCCAGGTAGAGGGGTATGGGGTGGTTATGGCTGTGATGGCCTGAGGCGGTGCAGGGTGCACGGACAGGCCACGGGGCCCCTACTAGTCCTGGTCCTGCTGCCTTTGAGGATCACTGGAGGTGCCTGAGTGAGGGCTGGGCAAGCTGCAGGAGTCACCTGGCACCTCCTGTGCGCACGCCAGGAGCCTCGGGCCCTGCCTGCACATGCTGGAAGAAGCCATTGGCTCCCATACTCCAGCGGTTCTGCAGGTGCGATGCTGACACCTGCCTCCTCCAGGGGGTCAGCCAAGGCCACACGGTCCCACCCAGGTGGGTGAGGGCGTGGTGTGAAGCAGCAGAATCCAGAAACAAAACCAGAGGAATGAGTTGGCCAAGCCAGCCAAAGTGGGGCCATCAGGGACGCCAGCTGGTCCTGCTCCTGCAGCCATCTGGGGAGGAGCAGGCTTCGGGTCTGCTGCTCCATGCGCTGTGGTTTCAGGCAGGCCTTGCACCTTTCTCTGAGCTGCTGCCCACACCCCTGAGGCACGCAGCAGCTTCTGTGGCCTCACCTGCCTTGCACAGCCTCCTGCTTCCTGGCTGGGCCACGCGAGCCACACCCAGGCCCGTTTGCCCTCTGCTGCCCCAAGGACCAGAGTAGGTTGTGCAGGATGAGGGGAGCCCCCCTCCCCAACAGAAATGGCTGTGTGCTCTGGAATCCTGCCCCACTGGGGTTTCTCCTCACAGGAGAGAGGAGCTGGGGCACTCATGGGCCTCTGAGACAGGTGGGGTCTGTAGGGGTGAGACCATGCATTTATTTTTATTTATTTTTTTTAAAGTACTTTAGGGACTGGCATTGTGGTACAGGGGGTTAAGCTACCTCCTGCAATGCCAGCATCTCATATAAGCGCTGGTTCAGTCTTGGCTGCTCCACTTTTTTTTTTTATTATTATTTTTATTTATTTGAAAGAGTTACAGAGAGAGGTAGAGACAGAGAAGAGGTCTTCCATCCACTGGTTCACTTCCCAAATGGCTGCAGTGGCTGGAACTGAGCCAATCTGAAGTCAGAAGCCAGGATCTTGTTCCAGGTCTCCCACATGGGTGCAGAGGTCCAAGGACTTGAGCCATCTACTGGCTTCCCAGGCCACAGCAGAGAGCTGGGTTGGAAGAGGAATAGCTGGGACTAGAACCGGTGCCCATATGGGATGCTGGTGCCTCAGGCTAGGGCTTTAACCCACGCACCACAGTGCCGGCCCTGGCTGCTCCACTTCTGATCTAACTCCCTGCTAGTGTGCTGGCCCGAGTGCTTGGGCCCCTGCCACCCACATGGGAGACCCAGCTGGAGTTGCACGATTCTGGCTTCAGTCTGGCCCAGCCCTAGCTATTGTGGCCATTTGGGAGTGAATCAGAGGATGGAAGATCTCTCTCTCTCTCACTCTGCCTTTCAAATAAATCAACCAATCTTACAGAAATAATAAATAGCAGTCTACTTTAAAAAATTATTTATTTGAAAGGGAGTGACAGGGGAGAGAGAATAAAAAGAGGAGAGAGAGAGAGAGATGATTCAAGCTGGGTCACTCCCCAACAGCGTGCAACAGCCAGCTGAGTCGGGCAGAATCCAAGAGCTAGGAATTCCGTCCAAGTCTCCCAGGTGGGTGGGTGGCAGGACCCAAGTTCTTGGCCCATCAGGCACTGCCTTCCCAGGTGCATTAGCAGGGAACTGGATCGAGGGCACAGTGGCTGGAACTGGAACTGACACTTCAATATGGGATGTAGGCCCTCAGTACCACAATACCCACCTCGTGGTTTTGTTTTTAGTTATTTATCAGGGCTGGCATCGTGGTGGAGCTGGTTAAGCCACCACTTGTAATGCCAGCATCCCCTGTTGGAGTACTGGTTGGAGTCCAGAGTTCCAGCTGCTCCACTTCCAATCCAGCTTCCTGCTAATGTGCCTGGGAAGGCAGTGCCTGATGGGCCAAGAACTTGGGCCCTTGCTACCCATGTGAGAGACCAGGATGGAGCTGTCTGGCTCCTGGCTTTAGGCTGGCTCAAGACCTGACTATTGTGGCCATTTGGGGAGTGAATCAGTAGATGGAAGGTCTCTTTGTCTCTCGCTCAGTCTCGTTCTGCCTTCCAAATAAATACTTGTGGATTATTATTTGAAAGGCAGAGAGGTGCTGGCAGACAGAGATATCTTATCAGCTGGTTCATTCCCCAAATGCTCACAGAGTTAGGGCTGGACCAGGTCAAAACTGGGAGCCCAGGACTCAATCCAGGTCTCCCAGGTGGGTGGCAAGGATGCATACTTGAACCATCACCTGCTACCTCCAAGGGCGTTCATTAGAAGGAATTTGGACTCAGGATCAGAGCCGGGGCTGCAACCCGGCACTCAGACAGGGATGCAGACATTGCAAGAGACTTCTTAACTACTGTGCTGTACGCCTGACCTGAATCCACAGGTTTCCCGATCATGGCACTTGTGTGAGAAGCCGGGCAGTGGGGTCCTTCCCTTGCCAATGGGAGCCAGGCTGGGTCTAGGAGGGGGCCTCCGGCCACTCTGGGAGGTGATGAGTCAGAGGCAGAGCCCCTGGCCCACGTGGTCAGGAGGTTGTGGGGACAGGGAGGAGGTGAGCCAGATATGGGGAGGGTGAGGACTGCCTGGCACACAAGCACAGGTAAAGCATGCAGCACCCGGCCAGTGGGAGGCGCCAGATGCAGGCCATGCCTGTCATAGACACCCATGGCCACCTTTCCCTTTCCTAGGCATGCATGGTAAGGATGCTGCACCTGTCCTACCTGCCATTGTCAGCTCCTTAGCTCTGGCAGGGGTGACGCCCTTGGGGACAGAGGGGAAGTGACATGTGGTCCAAAGGCCACACAGGCCTGTGGGAAATGCTCCCTCAGGCTGGAGCAGGGCCGGGCTGACCCACTGAGTGCCCAGCTTCTGCCCACTGTAGTCCTCTCCTCCTCCTCCCCCCACTCCTGCTGACCTCCACCAGTAGCCTTGTGGGGCTGGAGGCCCTGGAGCAATGAGGGCAGGTCTGCCTGGTCCCTGAGTCCCAACTACAGGCAGTGTCTGCTCTCACCTGACCCTCCCCCCAACAGCCATCCTGGCCCTTCTCTGCCCCGCCGTCTCCTTGTCCCCTCTGCAGCCCAGCCCCACCTCTGTGGGGTGCCCTCTGGAAGCAGCATCTTTCCCAATGAGCTCAACACTGCCCGCCGCCACTCCAGCTATTCCCCCACCCCTGGGCTCTGCCTCCCCCAGGGGCCTGAAGTCCCAGCCATGGGATGTTATCTCTCCAAAGTGATCAAGGAGCCACAGCCCAAGGCCCTGGAGTGAAGTCAGCTCAGGGCAAAGACATTCACCAGGGATCTGCACTAATATAGCGATTTATTGCTTCTTTAGCCATGTGGGTTTACACCAAGTTCAAAAGGGAGGGAGAAGACTCTGACGAAAATAGCGGCTCGTGGCGGGGCTGTCTTCCTTCTCCGGCTCACGCCTTCTCTGGAGCTCAGGCTGCGAGCTCGGCTTCATTCCCTGCTGGCCCCCTGGGCTGCGGGAGGCTCACTAGGTGTGCGTCTCTGGTGGCTGCGGAGGGGGCGGCGCTTCCTCTGGGTCCCTGGCCGGCTGCTCGCTGGTGAAGCCCTGCAGCTCCGACTGCCTGGGCACTTGCGCCACGTCCTCCTCGGGTTTCGCATCCGGCCGGGCCTCGGCCCGCGACTCCTCCCTAGGCTCCAGCTGCGTGGCCGACTTCTTGTCAGAGGTGGGATCAGGGATCCACAGAGGATCAGAGCCCCGGGAGCTCTCCCCTTCCTTGTTGATGGCTGCAGAGGACATCCCCCGAGCCTTGGGCTGCACCCAGCAGTGGCTGAGGATCTCGTCAATGTGCAGGCGCCGGTTGACGTCGGGCTGCAGCATGCGGTAGATGAGGTCCTTGCACTCCCCTGTCAGGTGCTTGGAGCGCGGGAAGTTGACGCGGTGCTCCTTCTGGATGCGCAGCATCTTCTTGATGTTGGAGTCGTCGTAGGGCATGGAACCGCACACCATGATATAGAGGATGACGCCCAGGCTCCAGATGTCGTAGACCTTGGGCTGGTAGGGGATGCCCTGCAGCACCTCGGGGGCTGCGTACGCCGCCGACCCGCAGAAGGTCTTGCTGAGGATGATGCGCCCGCTGTCGTCCCGCAGGCAGCGCTTGGAGAAGCCGAAGTCAGACAGCTTGATGTTGAAGTCCTTGTCGAGGAGGAGGTTCTCGCACTTGAGGTCCCGGTGGACGACGTCCAGGTCGTGGCAGTACTTGATGGCCGAGGAGAGCTGGTGGAACTTCTTGCGAGCGTCGTCCTCGTGCAGGGCCCCCCGGGTTTTGATGAACTCGAGGAGGTCGCCCTGGACCCCGAGCTCCATGACGATGTAGACCTTGCCGTCCGACGTCTCGAAGATCTCGTAGGTCTTGACGATGGAGCGGTGGTTCAGCATGGCCAGAATCTCGATTTCCCGGGGTAGGAATTTCTCCAGAAAGTCCGTGGGGGCTTTCTTGCGGTCGATGATCTTGACCGCCACGTTGAACTTGAGGCGCTCGGAGTAGGCAGACTTGACTTTGGCGTAGGAGCCCTCTCCCAAATTTATCCCCATGATGTAGCCTCTCCTCTTAAGGACAGCAGCGTCATCCATGGTGCCGGGAGCTCCCAGTGCCTCTGAGGCTGCCCTCTACATCCCTGCGGGACATGGGCCAGCAGCGTCCTCATTGAAACTGTGGACCCAGAGTCCTCTGGGCTGGCCGGGCCTGCTGTCCTTGCCTCCCAAGAGGCAAGACTCCGGGATGGAACATTCAGCCGCCGTCTCCCAGGTGACTTCAGTGGATGAAGTCACAAAGGAGCAGCGCCGTAGGGGAATGAGGCTCTGGCTTTGGCCGCTGGACCTGGGTCCAGGCCCTGCCAGGGTCAGGCCCCGTGAGAAGGAGCAGATGGAAGATCCAGAGCGTGGACAGTGTGGCCTGGAGCCCGGCTGGGGCCTCAGGTAGGAGGAGGAGGCGGTGGGGGTGGGGGGAAGGCTGCTGGGAAGTGCCCATGCTTCCAAACCAGGAAGGGGGGACTGCTTGAGAGGGAGGGTGGTGGGGCCTGGTAGGTGCAAACTAGGGCATCTCAGGAGTCATAGGGTGGTCTATGGGTCAGGGGCCCCCACAGGGAGTGGAATACACTTATTCCACACTCGATGTGGAATAATTGGAGGAGGATTTAATCAAGGGACATGCTTCAAAGGCGGGGCAGTCCATAGGGAGCCCCAAGGGTAGCGCAGGTGCCCTATGGTAGTAACAGCTTCCTGGCCTGCATGGAGGGGGGACGGAATAGTCACTGGGACCTGGGAATAGTCCAGAGAGGGCTACACCGAGAGCACTGGCCCTCAGAGGAGGGAGGGAAAGAACCAGGCTGCAGCCTGCAGGGACGCCTGGCAGAGCAGAGCAGGGGAGGGGCTGGGGTGCAGAGGGGCCGGACTCCTGGCTTAGCGGTGGCTGCAGTTTTGGAAGCCAGGACTCTGCCCATCTGCTACATGGTTCTGCTGGAACCTCTCTCTTTCTCTCTCTCTCTCTGTGTTTTAAAGATTATTTATTTGAAAGGCAGAGTTACAGAGAGGCAGAGCGAGCGAACGAGAGAGCTTTCATCTGCTGGTTCACTCCCCAACCGCTGAAGCTGGGCTGATCCAAAGCCAGGAGCCAGGAGCTTCTTCCAGGTCTCCCACGCAGGTGCAGGAGCTCCAGCACTTGGGCCATCTTCTACTGCTTTCCCTGGCCATAGCAGGGAGCTGGATTGGAAGTGGAGCAGCCAGGACTCGAACCGGGCATCCACGTGGGATGCCGGCACTGCAGGTGACGCCTTTACCCGCTACACCACAGCATTGGACCCACTGTGCAGTCCTCTTTCCTCACCCAACCTTTGCTGGCCTGCCTCTCTTCCAGTGGCTGTGTGGACAGATGATCGCCAGGAATGCTCTTGGCTGTGAGTCCTCTCCCGGGATCCCACCCAGCCCCTCCCTTGGCTGTCTGGACTCCCAGAGTGGGTCTGGGAGGGTGGTGGTGACGGGGTGGGAATCCTGCTCTGAGCACTGGCAGCTGCTCCTGGGGAAAGGGGTCATTGTTTCTCCTGGCCCATGTCCTGCACCTGCTCCGGGCCACACCCTTAAGGGAAGTAGGAGCCGGAAGGGCTGGCCCAGAGGGAGTGAGTGGCCCTGCACCGCGTGCCTGCAAGAGTCACAGGCTGGACTCCCGGTACCCTCAGGACACTCAGCAGTAAGTGGGCGGGGCTGGCTCTTCCCTCTCTGCACCCCATCTTCATCGTCTCGCCAGGCTTGGACAGCTTCCCCTGAACAGCTTGCTTTCCCTTCCTGCTGCGGACAAACCATCTGCTGTCTCCACTCGCTGGCTGGTCAGAAGACAGGTGCGCCCGCAGGCAGCACCTGGAGCCTTGTTCCCAGAGCCTCGGCGGCCCCAGCACGTTTTGTTCCACGCCGCCCATGCGGCTTCCCCTCGGCCTGCAGCAAGAGCTGGCCGGCTCCCCGTGCTGCCCTCCCCTAGGTCGCTCCCTCATCCGTTGAAACACCTGCAGTTGCGTGCGTCCCTGGAGCCACACCTGCCTGCTCCTTCCACGGCTTCCCAACCCGCCTCCGAGCCTCCAAGACCTAGTTTTCCCCCTTTCTCCTTCCACAGCGGTTCAGCCTTCAAGGACCACTTTAGGGCGCACCTTTGCGCCGCTGACCAGACCTGGGACTGCAGGTGGGAAGACTCTTCAAGTCCTGGGGGGGTCTCGCTTTGCCCCCTCCCCTCTCCCACTGCACCCCGCCCCCAAGCCCACTCCCTTCCCGCGTCTGACATTGGGGTTCCCGCGGCCCTTGCCCCGCCCCGGCGCCCAGGGATCCTAGGTCCTCTGGAGGCCCTGCCAGTCAGGCTCCGCCCCAGGTCCCACCTCTCTGCTTAGCCAATGCGCGCCTCAGTCCTTGTATTCCCGCCCACCTCCCCTCTCAGTGCCCGCCCTCTGTCGTCCCGACTCCAGGCCTCGCCCCTTTCGGGCCTTGCCGCGGAGGCTCCGCCCCCGCCCCGCGGATGGTCCATACGTAGCCGGGAGCGCACGAGCCCCGCCTCCCGGCTCGGCGCTCATTGGCCCGCGCCGGCGTCGCGGGCGGGAAGGCGGGGCGGTGCGGGGCCGAGCAGGACGGCCGCCATCTTGCGCGGCGCCGGAGTCGGAGCCCGAGGCTGCGGCCGAGAGTGCGCGCGAGGCCGCAATCGCCCTGCCCCCGCCGGAACCCTCTGCCCATCGCTTCTCCACGCCCGGCCCCGACCCGGCCCCCGGCCCCCCGGCCCCCAGCCCGGCCCGGTCCGGCCTCCCCGCGGGGTCACGCGGCCGCCCCGGGGACGATGAACGGAGGATAAATGGTGCCCAAGGCAGACAGCGGCGCCTTCCTGCTGCTCTTCCTACTCGTGCTCACCGTCACTGAGCCGCTGCGGCCAGGTGTGCGGCGAGGGGGGGTGCGGGGGCGCGGCAGGGGGCGGGGCCGGGGCGGGGGCGGTGACCAGGGCTGGGGGCGACCCCGGACCTCCTTCCACCCGCGGCGACCTCCGAGGGGAGCGTCCGCACCCGGGGAGAGCGGCGTGAGGTCCCGGGCCCCGCAGTCGGGGCTGAGCCGCTCGCCGAGGACGCGGGTTTTCGCGGGCACCCGGCGGGCCGTGGCCTGGGGCCAGCCCCCTCGGCGCGGGACAGCGCGGCCCAGCGCGCTGGAGGAGCCCTCCACTCAGCCTGCCGGGCATCGCGCGCCGGGGGTGCTCCCCGAGGGTGTGACGGGCGATTATTTGGGACATAGAGCCTGCGTGTTTGTAAGCCCTGGTGTTGGTGGGGAATCAGAATCACGGCCCTTTTCCTACCCGTTTCGGGTGCCCCTGCACCACACCAAGAAAACCCGGTTCTCCGGCTCCAGGTCTGAGTGGTCCTGCAGGCTCTGGAGTCCCAGGCAAGCCTGCTTGTACTTTTTAAGGGTGCGCCGGCTTCTATTGCATAGAAAACCAGAAGAACAAAAAAAGAGGGAACTTTTGGGTCAGAGAAGCTGTTTTATAATACATATGTGCACGTCAGTATAGCCATCTTTACACCAATACAGGGAGGAAGTATGATCCTTATATATATATATATATATATATTTTTTTTTTTTTTTAAGTGGAGGAAGGGTTCCACATAGACACAGGTGCCTAGGGCCATCCTGGAGCCCTGTTGAGCCTGGGGATGGGAGTGTGTGGTGTGTGGACCCCTGCCAGGCCCTTTCCAAGCTCCCACCGACTCTGCACCTCTTGGCCCCAGGCCTTTGTTACGTGCATGGAACACCCAGGTCCTCCCCAGGGCCTGCCTGGTGGCTAGGGCCCTGGGCCCATGCTCAGTTTGGAAAGACTTGGTGAGCTTTTCTGGGCTCCCGCGTAGAGCTGCTCGCCCCCCCCCCCCCCCTTCTGGCTGCTCCCTGGGCAGCCGATGCGCCTTGTAAGGAAGAGAATTCAGGAAACTGGCCACCTGAACGTGCCTGTGCCCACAGCCGAGTGTGGACGCTGCTGTCCTGTGCTGGTTCCTGGGCTCAGGTGGGTCAGCAGCCATGGCGTGCCGTCCTCAGCACCTCTGGTTCCAGGTCTGGCGTCTGACGCGCGGATGGTTGCAGCGACTGGCGTCCTCAGCTCCTTTTGCCTTGTCAGTGGGTTCACAGCTGCCGAGAGCAGTTCCGAGTGCTTCTCTGTGAGTGCTTGCTGCCTGCCCGGTGCGCTAGTTGAGGTTCACGTGAAGGGGACAGACCTCTCTGGGAGAGCCTGAAGCAGAGGCCAGGTGTGAGTGAGTCGTCACAGTCTGTGTGCTGGGCACCCCAGAGCAGAGGCAGGCACCGGAGGTTGCCATCACTGGTACCCGTGATGCAGGGCCAGGGTGTCATGGGAGACCTGTGAGGTCTGAGTGGGATGTGGGGTGGGGGTGGCTCTGATGGAGTGAGCAAAGTGATCTTAATTCCATGGCTTCCCACCTCAGGGCTGTTGGTGTCTTCAGTTGCAAACCCCTGGAGCCAGCAGGGGTGCGGGGGGTGGGGCGCCCCTGGCAGTGCAGGCAGGGCTCCCTGTGGGCCAGGGCATCTCTGGTCTCAGTCTGCATTCTCTCTTTCTGCATCCTGTCTTACAAGCAGGATGCTTGGATGTGAACCTGTGGGGGGGTCCTCTGACTCCTGTCTGATGGGGCCCGGCGACCGTGGGCTGCACTCGGGGCGAGGCCTTTCTGAATGTGGGGCGGCTTCCCTCAGAGGTTCTTTTGCACGCACATTTAGTTTGATATTGCTGGATGGAGGCTACTTTACGTGTCGGGTGCTGTGCCTGCTGTCATCCACCCTCGGCTGGAATGATGGGCACATTGTCTCATTGACCCTCTCGCTACCTGTGCAGGGAGTGCAGCGTCAATTGCTGGTTCTACAGTGAGGATTTTCTGCTTGGAAAGGTTTCAGCTGTGTCCAGGGCGACCCCGCTGTGTGTGGCAGAGGAAACGTCACCACCGTCCAAGGTCTCTGGGTCACTTCTTGCCTTTGCTGGCCGTGCTCAGCTGGGCCTCCTGGTGCAGTAGCACATCTTGCCCACATTTCCCCCAGAGCTAGCTGGGAGGGGCACATGACTCCACGAAGGCCACACAGGCTGGGGGAGCCACAGAGCAGTGCTTAAGGCCAGGCAGCTGGCTGCAGCCGAGGGCCTTCTCCCTTTCACCGTTAGGGACCAGGAGGTGGCAGCCTGCTGGCTGTGCTGAGCTGATAGATAAATCCTCGGGGAGCTGGAAGGGGTCCTAGCACCTTGCCTCTGGAGTCCAGAGTTCCGTTTTTTCATTTCCTTGGGGAGCAGCTCAGGGGTGGCAGAAAGGAACCTTTCCTTGGTAAGTCTTTTGCAACTTAGAGCAAAGTTGCAAGGGTAAAGTTGGCACAAAGAACACTTGTGCAGCCTTTGCTCAGACTTAACCTGTGGTTAGGGTTTTACCCTGTTTGCCTTGCCGCACCCTACCTGTGCGTGTGTGCGTGTGTGTGTGCATATGCGTATCACTGTGTGCTCACATGCAGCGTTTGCTCTGAATCATTGGTGAGGAGAGAGTGTACAGTATGGCGCTTTACCCCTGCAAACATGGGCCCTCACAGACAGCACGAGGTGGCTGTTCAACCCCGCCCCTTTGTCCTGTGTAATAGCCGCTGCGTGCCAAGCATGGCGTCGCTGTGGGAAGGTCCGGAGGGCATGGGCAGCCCTGTGGTTGAAGCTTGGGCGGGCCCAGCTGGAGGCAAGGTGCCGTCTCTCCTTGTCAGAATTATTATCATAGTTGGTGGTTCTATCTTACGAAGGAAGCCTGTGTGGCGCTTGGACGTGTGTGCTGTCATGAGGCTGTGCGTTTCCTGTCCCTTCCCAGTCTGCTTCCCTGATCTAGGTCACTGGCACTTCCCCTACCCCTGCCTTCCCTGGGTACTTCCCACAGCACCAAATGATTATGTCCTCTTAGTGGTGACAGGGGATGTGGCCGTGTGTGTGTCCTCTCAGCGGTGGTGGGGGATGTGGCCGTGTGTGTACCCTCTCAGGGGTGGTGGGGGATGTGGCCGTGTGTGTGTCCTCTCAGCGGTGGTGGGGGATGTGGCCGTGTGTGTGTCCTCTCAGCGGTGGTGGGGGGATGTGGCCGTGTGTGTGTGTC